ATAGAAGAGGAAGATCCATATGCTTCATGGATCAGAATATGGATGATATATCATCAGAACATGAAGTATGGTACGTTTCCATCAAAACATGAATCTCTCCAGTATATTTCATGTTCTTCATGTAACCTCTCTACATCCTAATGATCAAAGGAAGTTTGTAAGCCTCACACTTTTTATAGATTGTTGTGAGTTTGCTTTTATATTATAAGCATTTTCCCTATCACTTGTTGTTGAGAACCAGAGATTCTCTGATATACTGTATCTTTGTGATTCTATTAAGGGAAACTGAATTTTTATGTCTTTTGTTGTCTCCGAAAGACTATGCTTATAATACTTTTGGAATCGTTTAGATGAGACCATTTTTCCGTCGTTAGGGGGAGAATTGGGGTTAACGACGTGAATGATTATGGAATATATTGTCTCATCAACGCATGATTGTACTACCTGATATATGTAACAGGTATGAAAGATTAATGCAAATTCTGAAAATTGCAAAACACTGCATATATTAAAGGCTCATAAAGAGTAACTCATGGGTATGACAGTGTGAATTAAATGCACGCCAAATGCGTAGCAAATAGAGTGGATTGAGGTTCCAAAAAGGACAATCCATCAACATGTCAATATGATGCACGTTGAGTGCGTAGCAAATTGTTTGAATTTATGTCCCAGAAAGACAATCCATTGACATGATAAAATTAGTCTGTGGCATGCCTAAAGCATGACAGATATATGTGTTCCAAATGTTCCAACTCCTGGAATGGAGATTATTCACGCCCTATTTTAAACACTCCAGAGGAGATTATGATCCACATTCTCACATAATTCATCTTATAAGAGATGTATGTTTAGAAGGAGACAATGAAAGTCCCTAAAATTGCCTTGGGTACCCGGGAAAAGGCAAAGAAATGCTTATTGATGCATGCGCATGCACATAAGAATGGTGAGATCACAAATTGATGAATGATATTCTTGGTTTTAAAGTAGCTACTCAAATCATCAATAGGCTATGTTGAATGGAACCACGTTCAATTATCAAATATTGACAAAATCATTGGCCAAAATGGAAAGAGGCAAATGAACGTGAAAGAACATATAAGAACCCCAAAAGATGTTAACCCAGAAGGTTATACATGGGTGTTTGAAATAAATTGGAATACACTCACTTCTATATGACATAGAGTTTCTGGAAGAAACTTGGAATTATGAGATTCTCCATACTTGTATATGCAACTACGATGAAATTATTGCACATCTACGGAGACTAACACACTATCTTTAAGGGTTATTAAATGCACGGAGCATATCGCCATAAGCGATGCAAAAATGGGACAAAATAGTTGGGTATAAAGCTATATAGTGTGTCATGAAGTGTAATCCCTGAAAGAAAATCCTTGAAGGATTCAAATTGCATGAAGCAAGTCCCTAAAGGACAAGTGCATAAAGCACAAATTTTGTACTTTATATTAATATGAAAATAGTATATATTGCCTCAGTGAGTACATTCATTATGAAATGTTGCAACACATTACAACTTCTGAAGAGTTGATAATTGGTTAAAACTCCTAACAGAGTTCAAGAAATAAAGTCTTGACCTAAAGATTGAGCATTATGCCAACGAAATTCTTGGCTACCAATCAGCTTATACTGAGAAAGTATTGAAGCATTTTTATATGGATTTTCCGGTAGTGTAACCGGACACGGTATTTCCAGTTAAAGCTTAGCTCCATCACTATTACAGTAAGGGTGATGTGATGCATATTTAATGCTATCTCCGCAGATTAACATATACGGGCATATTCTATACAAGTAAAACTTACAAGTAGCCCATGATTTATTAAATACGCGGATTCTGAAAATTTCTCTAATTTGCATAGAGATTATTCACTCGAAGTATATTTAATTATAAGGATATATTGATTTCATATCACTTACAGGAATATATCCTCCACTCACTACGGAAAAGGGTTTTCTCTCCAGAGAAATAGTCATGAAGATATCAGGGGGAGACATTCATCTGACTGAAGCATCCATAAATTGAAGCTACAAGAGCAAATATGGTGCAAGCATTACCAAAGCCCACTCTACGAGAAAAGAATGTGCTATCAATTTCATTTGAGATGGATCATGAAGTTATCAAAGGAAAATAATTCTTCAGGGGGGAGCATCCATCAAATTGAAAGTCATATTTATTCACTTAAGATGCAACAAAGCCGTGACAACCACAACATTCAGAAAGATGGATTATCTTAAAGATATTTTACCGAGCATCAGGGGGAGCGTGCAATCAATAAAGATCTTCATACACTGTACTCTTTTTCCTTCGTCCAGGTTTTTATCCCACTGGGTTTTTCCTGGCAAGGTTTTAACGAGGCGGTGTCGCACGCTTGTCAGTGGTCAAAATACAC